GAACTTTGGTTTTCCTAGATATGGCTACGCTGTTGTGATCACTACATCCTATGGATTTGGATACTGCTTTAAAGCTAATTTCTGCAGCATTAGTAAAGATGTAATCAATACATGTTGATGATTTCATTACTGTACTATTTGTAACTACCCTGGTAGGTTGACTGACAACCTGAACCAGCTTGCAGGCACTGGTTACAGTTTGACGTTTTTTCTTGAGTGGGCAGCTTGATGAAAGCAAGTCAATATTTAAGTCACCCAGACAATATACTTCTCTGTTGATATCACATACATTATCAAGCATTTCACACATATTATACAGATACTGACTGTTAACACTTGGTGGTCTACAGCAGCTTCCCACAAGAATTGGCTTTAGGTGAGGCAGATGAACCTGTAGCCATATTACTTCAACAGTATTTAACATGAGATCCTCTCTAAGCTTTACAGGAATGTGGTTCTGAATATAGACCGCAACACTGCCCCCGTTGGCATTTCTGTATTTTCGGTAGATGTTATAGCCATGTATTGCTACCACTGTATCATCAAAGGTATTATCTAAGTGAGTTTCAGAGATTGTCTGAATATGAATGAAATCTGTTACAAGAAAGTTATTGACTTCATGAACCTTGTTTCTTAGGCTACATATGTTAATATGGGCTATTTCTAGCACTTTTCTGGGTTGCTTGATTGTTTCGAATGCTTTACTGGGAAGCTTATCAGAAGTAGACTTGCTCATGTTATTTATATTGGAACAGTGGACTTCCTACTAGGGCACACCGCCTCAGTGCTAACAGTGTAACTCTAGTTCATAGGCACATGATTACTGCATACACTCGCTATAGGATCAACAGAGGTATTCAGGGCAGTTGGGGGAACATAAATTAAGTTACAAACATTGTGTCTGCCAAGAGCAGAGAGTAGGAGAATAGAAGGGAGTCGGAGTGAACCAGCAGTGTATTGTATTGTACACAACAAATTGGCCAGTTTTACCTAGTGTTGATTTTTCAGTTTAACATTTCTAGTGTTGATTCAGGAGTTAAATTAACTTGAGTTGAGTGTGTTTGTGTCATTTTTACTATGTGTAGAGTAAAACACTCAAAACCACGCCCATCATTATCATAATTCCCAGCATTATTGCAGGTTGATTTTCAGAATTGTTTGATTCAATATCTGTGTTTTTGCATGTACATTGATTGATTGATTAATCTTATGCTACACAAATATAAATAACTCAAATTTTTCTAAACTAATGCAACCTGTTATTAGTTGGACTTATTGCAGCTGTTACTGAGATGGTTGTTCCAGTTTAGATGATTTAGGTAGACTCATTAACCAATCTTCCCTATCCTGGCAGTCATTCTAAATGCAGTTTGCGGGTGATTAAAAGTTTTAATTGTTGGATATTCTCACTCTGGCTGGATTCCAATAGGAATTACACATCACTTTGCAAGCCAGCATAATGTGACTTGCAGGCCTGATGTGGCCTGTAAACCAGGAGTTTCAGACCACTTTGTTAGGGTATAACTAGGCTTAACTAGGCCCTCAAATATATATAATATATGTAATGTATTGTCATAAAGAGTTTAGGGGTTCTCAATAGAACCCTTCATGGAAAGTTCTAGAAAGAACCTTTAGGTAATGAAATAGTTATTTAAAAGGGTTCTACCTAGCACCAAAAATGGTTCCTCTATGGAGACAAGCCGAAGAACCCTATATTGTTCTACTTTGCACCTAAGAGTGTTATGTAGCCTATGTAGACCTACTGTGTAAATTATATATTTGTGAGGGAAAATGTGCATTGATTGGGTCTCCAATTGATGCAGGGTGCCTCTAACCCGGTATGAATAACAATGGTGAGATGATACCATGTCCATGTACACTGCTTATTTCCATCCAGCTCTCTTCCTATTCGTGATGTGACATTTACATGACTCTGCATGTCTCTGTGCTGCTTTAATTGAACTGTTTACTCTAATATCCCTTCAGATCCGGATCTCTGTGTGGAAAAAACTGAAGTCTCACATTCATTGTTTGATACATACACTGTCATCCCTTGACAGATTAGAGGAGGAACCTTTTGCCATTTTGCATCTCCACAAGCTTCTACTCATCATCTTCTAGGAATGTACCTTTTCACTGAGAATACCAGACCGGGAACACAGACATTCTCAGACCTAGTCAAGAGGCCATATTGCTTTATTTTATTCAAAGTTCATATTGAGATGGTTAAGAAAGAAATGCAATCATGTGTTGCTCTATTACAGTTAAAAACAAAAGAGCAAGAACTGTCTGAAACAGTAAAAGGTCATTTGATTATTGAGGAAGGTGGAATGGGTGGAAAGTAACAGAGGCTTTAGGATTATGGAAGATGCATGCAACATCAACCAGGCAAGGAAGAGTCCTAAGACCCCTGAGACAGAGGAGCCTGGAGTAAAATGGCATGTCGTGTCATGGGGGATAAACAGTTGCAAATGAGTCACATCGTCTAGGAGGACAGGCTAATCCTGTCTGTCACACAGCCAAAGTCAGGAGCTGGACGAGGAGAATAAGGAAGCAAGAGTGTGAGTGTGTATGTCAGATAAATAGTCATAGAAATTATGGTAGATACTACCCCTGATCATTTGGTCAGATAACCGTGTGTGTGTCTGTACGGTAGGTGACATGTCCATAATAGCTATCTAATATTTATAGTTATGCTAGGTAATGGTTTGGCTTATCATGTTCATGTCTATGTAGAAGAAGACTGTAGGAGGAAGTGGAGAGGACTCAGGGACAGGTGTCAGAGAGAGAGGAGGGCAGAGAAAGAGAAGAAGAGGTCTGGGTCAGCAGCTTCAGGCCAGCGGCATTGGCACTTCTGCCACATTATTTTTTTTTCTGGATCCATTTATTGTGCCTAGGGCAACGAGTTGGACAGGAAGAGGAGAGGAGTTGTCTGGTTGTTGTTTTGACCTCCCTCATTGTACCTTTCCTTTCACACATGTCAGTTCCGTTTAAATTCTGTCAATTCATGAAGTCATTTGTTTCTAAAGTCTTAGGATAGCATTCATTATTAGTGTTACATAGATTTCTGAAATGACAATTGAAACTCACACACCGGAGAATTCACAGATGCTCCTGTTGGTCTCTTACAAGACTAAAGGTGAATATATTTATTTCATTTAAAACCACTTGAAAACCAGGGTGTTTAAACTTTATGTGAAATTATGTTCATCAACTGGTCCATGACATCCATGGGCCATTTGTTTGTTTAGCTGTGTTATGGCTACACATTATTTAATTTTTTCAGAGACAGAGACACACACACACCTCTCCTCCACTCCTCTCTGTACCTCAGATCTCCAGTGCCCTGTCCTCTCTCTCTTTATGGCCATGTCTGAAGTCGCCCTACTATCTCTAGGCTTTATGAGTATCTTTGTTGTTTTATTTTTTGTAAAATTTTTACAACACACATACCTGTCATGTTCTTTCCTGTACTTGAATACTTATTACATTCTAATGTTTGCATAGTCAGTTTCATTTGTTTATTAATATCTCATTTAGACTTAATCTGTTTATTTCTTCCCTACACCTTTGCAGATTTAATTTAAATTTAATTTATCTAAGATCTAAGACAAGATGAACGTAAAAACACATTCTCTTCCTAATTAGTTTTTTTTCTACCTGTATTTTCTCAGACCAGTGAAGATCATGGTAAACTGTACTATTTGTATGGACCCTAGGTTACCTTTTCCCATTGTTATCATACTAACCTATAACCTTAATAAGAGCTTCTGCTCACCTGATGTACCATGTCAGGTGTGTATAATACTGATGTTAATGGGAGAGGGAAGGGGTTAAGGTGTGGTCTTTACTCCCAAATTTCACTTAAATATAACTTCCAAAAGGAGAGAGACAATGAGACATGAAATAATCTGGGGAAAAATGCTATTTTATGGATGACGGTGGATGGTTCTTAAAATAACCTTTGTGTTAGGGGGCTCTTAAAAGAGATGTTTCACTCCACGGCATGCTGCCATGGGACTTCACCTGCTGGCGATGAGAAGTAGGTTGTCAGCTCTCCCTCACCTGGAGTGCCTATCTGGGGGTGTTGTTAGCACCTGCCCTGGTGACATCAGGTAGGTGACCATTTGGCGTGCCCATCTCCATCCGGAGCGGCTCCTGGAATGACCTCCGCAGGTTGTTGTGGAGAACACATGTGGCCTTCACGCAGGCATCGACATTTGAGGGGCTGGGACCAAGCACTCTCGGATACATTCTCCACCGGCGCGATCAAAAGCACCTTTCCTCAGCATTGGTCTCATTGTTGAAAGAGCCTACTCTCTGCTATCTTGACTATTTATTATTGCATTTCGCTCCAAAACTATGCATTTTTGAGGGAATTATATTATGGGCTCTCACAATTATTTTTTAGATGTCATCGAATAAATAATATGTATGCTACTTGGCAAATGAATGAATAAAAAATTTAAAGAAATTCTGCAGTCAAGCTGTTTTTATTATGTAATCCCACATTTATTTTACTGGATATGTGTGCAACAAAAATTCAACATTCACATTTTGCTACTTTCTGTCAAGTCTACGCATCCAATTTGATGCGTAAATTCGATAAATCCAACGTATGCACCACACAGAATTTACAACAACTGCCTCTTCTCAACGCAATGCTGCAAGGCAAACGCAGCGTTCCATTGGAGATGAATGTACTTCTGGTGTACCAAAACGCTAAAAACACAGTCGGTCTGTTCGAAGCGTGACAACTTTACCAGTCAGTGGCTGTCAATTGATTCACGTGACGGATGACGACTGCGGAGGATCTAACTGCTCGAGAAATAAATTTGAGATAGCCAACCATCCTCAGGAGCATAGTCCTAAATTCTCCAAAGAGATGTCGCAGGTTTAACTGGTTTAGAGCAGCGTCAGTAATCCAACTGCGACGCAGATCTTCCCTCCTCACCACACTAGACAGCTCAACGCGCGCACAGCACAATGTTATTCAAGCAATGAATCCTGCGAATTTCACTAGAACTAAAAGAAATACAGAAGAATATATATTTGCGGTTGGTACTTACAAAATCCTTGCTTTTGCTATCGGAACAATCGGATTCTTCGGATTTTGCAACAATATTATTGTCATCATGCTGTACTACAGATTCAAGAGACTCCGGACCCCCACAAATTTGTTAATAGTAAACATAAGTATAAGTGACTTGTTGGTGTCTGTCATTGGAATTAACTTTACGTTTGTTTCGTGCATCAAAGGCGGATGGGACTGGAACTCGGCAACATGGGACTGGAACTCGGCAACATGCGTCTGGGACGGATTCAGCAACAGTTTATTTGGTCAGTATATGAACTTCTGTGCTTTGGGTGTCTTACCTAGATTCACACATTCATCTAAAATAAAATATAAAATAAAAAATATTTGTACGTATTTTAATAGGCCTAATCCAATATTTGTTTTGTGGCAGCCTTTCCATTTAATTTGTGTTCCATGTTTGTATGTTTCAGATAACAAAGTTGAGTCTTTGGGGGTATTACATTTTCATAACTCTGTGATCCCTATAGTCTATTTCGTCTATTGCACTGGAAAGTTACTACCCATCTTATTCTAAGGGAGAACTGTTTAGCACACTTTCTCCCTATTTATTTATGAAACCAGTCTTTATATGGTTGTGGATGTTTATGAATGCCATTGCCGCTATGGGGATGAAGCTGATTCGTGTCAAGGAAACCTCGGAAATACCCGTGTAATTCTATCCATATCTGTGTCTGGCGCCCCTTTTACACACTGGAAAATATGGAATATTTTGTTGACAAGTGGCTAGTTTTCTATACTGTAATCATTGTACATATATCAATTTCATGGATAGACTATGACATAAGTAGGCTCAAGAATGTTTGTATCAATTCCAGCAGTTGATTTAAATAGCTGATTGCGCCTTTAGTGCGTGTTTACAACACTATACATTCAAAAGTATGTGAACACCACTTCAAATTAGTGGATTTGGCAATTTCAGCCACTCCCGTTGCTGACAGGTGTATAAAATCGAGCACACAGCCATGCAATATCCATAGACAAACAGTGGCAGTAGAATAGCCTTACTGAAGAGCTCAGTGACTTTCAATGTGGCACCGTCATAGGATGTCACCTTTCCAACAAGTCAGTTCATTAAATTTCTGCCCTGCTAGAGCTGCCCCGGTCAACTGTAACTGCTGTTATTGTGAAGTGGAAACGTCTAGGAGCAACAACGGCTCAGCTGCGTAGTTGTAGGCCACATAAGCTCACCGAACGGGACCGCTGAATGCTGAAGTGCGTAGCACGTACAAATTGTCTGTCCTCGGTTGCAACACTCACTACCAAGTTCCAAACTGCCTCTGGAAGCAACGTCAGCACAATATCTGTTCGTTGGGAGCTTCATGAAATGGGTTTCCATGGTCGAGCAGCCGCACACAAGCCTAAGATCAACATGCACAATGCCAAGTGTCGGCTGGAGTGGTGTAAAGCTCGCCACCATTGGACTCTGGAGCAGCCACATATGCCGAATACAACAGGTGTAGACATTACAGTGAAATGCTTACTTGCAAGACCTTAACCAACAATGCAGTTTTTTAAAAAGTAAAATAAAAAAAAGTGTTAAGTAAAATAATAAAAGCAAATAACTAAAGAGCAGCAGTAAAATAAAATAACAGTAGGGAGGCTATATATAGGGGGGTACCGGTACAGAGTCAATGTGCGGGGGCACCGGCTAGTTGAGGTAATTTAGGTAATATGTACATGTGGGTAGAGTTAAAGTGACTATGCATAAATAATAAACAGAGTAGCAGCAGCGTAAAAGAGGGGGATGGGGTGGGGTGGGGGGCAGTGCAAATAGTCCGGGTAGCCATGATTAACTGTTCAGGAGTATTATGGCTTGGGGGTAGAAGCTGTTGAGAAGCCTTTTGGACCTAGACTTGGCGCTCCGGTACCGCTTGCCGTGCAGTAGCAAAGAGAACAGTCTATGACTAGGGTGGCTGGAGTCTTTGACCATTTTTAGGGCCTTCCTCTGACACCGCCTGGTATAGAGGTCCTGGATGGCAGGAAGCTTGGCCCTGTGATGTACTGGGCCGTACGCAGTACCCTCTGTAGTGCCTTGCGGTCGGAGGCCGAGCAGTTGCCATACCAGGCGGTGATGCAACCAGTCAGGATGCTCTCGATGGTGCAACTGTATACATTTTTGAGGATCTGAGGACCCATGCCAAATATTTTCAGTCTCCTGAGGGGGAATAGGCTTTGTCGTGCCCTCTTCACAACTGTCTTGGTGTGTTTGGACCAACTCCATATTAATGCCCATGATTTTGAAATGATTTGTCAATATAAACAATTATATGATAATGACCTTCATGGGGGAGGGATACCATTTGCATGCTCTATACAGTCGCTAGTGAAAGTCTACACACCCCTTGCAGAGTCTTCACATTTTGCGGTCTTATTATTCATTAATTATTCAAATTATTCAAGCTCAGTAAATTTGGTTGGGAATTCTTGATGGACAACAATATTCAATGCTTGTCACTGATTTTCAAGCAGATTTAGGTCTGGACTGAGACTACTAGACCATTCAGGAACACTCAACACCTCTTGGAAAGCCATTCTTGTGTGTGTTTGGCATTAGAATGTGTGTAATTGTTCTGCTGAAAATAAAACTATGGCAGGGTTAGGTTTTCAGAAGACTATGGCAGGTTTTCCTAAAACGTTTTACCTGTCCTTTGTTCCTTTCATATTTATTTTGATCCTAAAATACTCCCTAGCCCCTGCCGGTAACAAGCATACCCATAACATGATGTTGCCACCACAATATTCATCTTATTACACTGAGTGTACGAAACATTAAGAACACTTTCCTAATTTTGACTTGTTTCTCCATTGAATCCTATGGGGAATTATTGATATTTATTTTTTCTCAATTTTTTATATCGATAATGCAATGAATATATGATAAAATGGCTATCCATACAGTTCAGGTTATTTTTTCCCACCCATTTCATCTATGTTATTACCGTCATTGGGTGCTTAGGGCGAGCGAGAGACACAATCACTTAACGGTCTCTTCCCTATTTATTAAAGGAATCATCACTTATTAACGGAGAGGTCTGCTAATGAGGTTGTTAGTGCAACCTTCACGCCCTCTGCGCTCTCTCACTCTCTCTCTCTCACTCTCTCTCTCTCTCTCTCTCTCTCTCTCTCTCTCTCTCTCTCTCTCACTCTCTCTCTCTCACTCTCTCTCTCTCTCTCTCCTCTCTCTCTCTCTCTCTCTCTCTCTCTCTCTCTCTCTCACTCTCTCTCTCTCTCGCTTTCTCTCTCTCCCTCTCTCTGTCTCTCTCCCTCTTTCCCCATATCTCTCTCTCAGGCACATGTAACCTACTGTAGGCTAAGTGCAATATTGTCCGATATAATTATATGCGGGACTTTTCTCATCTGTCCAATGTCTTCATATATTGTAAACTATTTAAATATAAAAAATTATGTTATTTGTTGCCTCCAAAAACAAATAGTTCACTCTTGTAGGATGGATGGGGGTAACTGTAGCACATGGGAATAAAACAGCATGGTCATTTGACTTCGATGTCCGCATTGCTCCTCACTATAGTCCAAGTTTGCTTTTGAACAGATCAATAAAATGTGAAGGGCTTTTCGAAGTGCACAAAAATAGCCAAAACAGCCAAAACAGAAGAACAGCCTGCACCAAGACAGAGACACTGAAGATGCTGGTTAATATAACAATGAATGATAATTAGCATACAGGCACACTAAAGCCCCTCAGAAAGAGATGACTGGCACAGAGTATTGATACCATATTCATCTACTACAGCATGTGAAACAACTCTGACATTCTTCAACAGTCTAAATTTGGATGACTCTCTCAGGACATCCTGCACCTGTTACACCCATTGTACTCATGCAGTGTGGTCCTGTCAGTTTGACCTGTACAGACATGTTATGTATTAGTTGTGTTATAGTGTGCAGTAACACTCTGTGCTCGAACAGCTCCCCTTATATTGCAACACATCTGTGCTGCAACGCTTGGTGTTGATTGGGCCAAATGTCTGGCAAAAGTAATTGCTCTGCAATGGAGAAATTGAATGTGACCATAATGTGTTTTCTGGAGATTGTTGAAGGTAGAATGTGTGATTTGATCAAAATTAAGGTTTTGTGTGTGTTGACAGAATCAAATGCACAAACAACAAGACACCTCTCCTATTATTTCTCTTGTGAAGAAAATCATGATTCATTGCTAATAGGATATTTATGATTATTGATTATATATTGGGAAAATATTGATGAGGACTGAGTAATAACTGTAATAACAGTGTAATAACCAATTGCAGACAGTAATAATCAGGACCTACATATAAATATTGCATAACCCAGATTCGCTAGTCATTACTCAGCATCATCACCCATCTCCCTCCCTTCCAGGCATCGTGTCCATCATGAGTCTTTCAGCTCTGGCATACGAGCGCTATATCCGGGTGGTCTATGCTCAGGTGGTGGACTTCCCCTGGGCCTGGAGGTGCATCACCCACATCTGGCTCTACTCCCTGGCCTGGACAGGGGCTCCTCTTCTGGGGTGGAACCGCTACACCCTGGAGATCCACCAGTTAGGCTGCTCCCTGGACTGGACATCCAAGGACCCTATCGATGCCTCCTTCATTCTCCTCTTTCTCCTGGCCTGCTTCTTTGTCCCCGTGGGCATTATGATTTACTGCTATGGGAACATTCTCTACACGGTGCGAATGGTAAGAAGAAGGACTGTCTTGCTGTCTCTCCCTCCCATTTTCTTCTGTTGCTTCGTGTTTATGTCAGTGTGGTTTGTGTTGATCATCTTTAAATGTAAAAGTCCAATGCAGCCATTTTTACCTCAACATCAAAGCATTTCTGGGTAACAATTAAGAACTTTACTGTGATTGTTTTCAAATAAAATGGGCAAAAGGAAACTAAAATAGTTTCTTAGCAAAGACCAATTTCTCAAGCAAGAATTTTGCTAGGACTGTCTGGTAGTGGTCTGAGTGGGGAGGGGGAAACTTAAAACTAGCTGTTATTGGCAGGTTTGGAACTCTCTTTCTTATTGGTCTATTAAAGGCCCCCTGCAGTCAAAAACAAGATTTCCCTTGTTATATGTACAGTATATATGTATTTCCACACTATGAGGTTTAAATAATACTGTGAAATTGTGGAAATGATGATAATGCACTATTAACGTAAGAGCAGTTTGAAAAGACCGCCTGCAATTTCAGCCTGTTTTGCTGGGATGGAGTTTTGGCCTGCCTGGTGACATAACCAGGTGGCAAATTAGTTAATAGAAAAGTTTGTGGTCATACGCACATTCTTAAAAACATAGGTGCTGGGCTAATAAAGAATATTAGTTTAGAACAAGAAGGCCCGCACACTGTTAAAGCTCCCAATTCATTGCTTTATTGACAACGTTTCAATCCGAAACGGATCTTTGTCGACAAAGATCAGTTTCGGATTGAAACGTTGTAAATAAAGCGGTGAGTTGGGAGCTTTAACAGTGTGCGGGCCTTCTTGTTCTATACTAAATTAGTTAATAACCAATAAAAACCTCTGCCAATAACAGCTATTTTTCAGTTATCCTCTCCCCACTCAGACCACTCCCAGATAGTCTTAGAAACATTTTTGCTTGAGAAATTGCTCTTCGCTAAGAAGTTATTTTAGTTTCTTTTTGACCACTTTAATTGAAAACAATCACAGTAAAGAACTTAATTGTTACCCAGAAATTATTTGATATTGAGATAAAAACGGCTGCAATGGACCTTTAACTAATTTACCACCTTGTGATGTCACCACGCAGGCCAAAAGTATTTTCAAACAGCTATTACACTAAAAGGGCATTATCATAATTTTCACAATTTCACAGTATTCTTAACCTCTTAAGTGTGGATATACATATAAAACACAGGGAAATCACGTTTTTGACTGCACTGGGCCTTTAAAGAGCTCAAGATGAGACAAAGTCCAGAGTAAGTCAATAAAGTGAAGTGAACTGAACCAAACTAATCATAGAAGTGAATGCCTAATACAGGATACAGAAAAACCTTTCCTTCTATGGACATTTTCTATGCAGGTTGATGTTTATTGTCATGACTCTTGCCCTGGAGGCAGAACTGAGTGATTTCCACTAGATGGGCCAGCTGCAAAGTCATAATTTGCTATATCTTAAAAATTCATGAAAACAAAAATGAGCTTTTTGGTCTTAATTTAAGGTTAGGGTTAGGCTAAGGTTAACATTGTGGTTAAGGTTAGGTTTAAGGTTAAAGTTAGGTTTAAAGTGTAATTACTTTGTGGCTGTGCCAACTTGTGACCACTCTGCAGAGCTGCCTCCAGGGCAAGATTCATGACAATAAATGCCAACCTGCATTTTCTTTGCGCTAAATTTCAGCGAAGTACAAACTTTAATGGACATTTTTGTTCCATTATCACACGGAATGACCACCACTTGATCTTTTTCCTTTTATCTTTCACCTACCTTTCCAAAATGTATCTACATTTCCTCCATTCCTCCTTCCTCCTTCCTCACTCTTAAGTGCTTCAAATCATCCTGATGTACCACTTTACCACCCTGCATAGACTCTGCCACGCTGGTGCTGTAGAGAGCATTTTTAAAGCTCATTGTCCTTAGTAGCTAACATAAATCAGTGATGGTTATGGACTGTAGCATGAGAACCAGCATTAACCACGAGCCGTAAGCAGCCATGTTTCACTAATCTCATCAGCTTGTCACCTGGCCAGCAGCCTGTTGCCCTGTAATAAAAGAGGGTTGCCTGTGAGGATGATAGGGTTTGAAGTGGGTTCACTCAGCAGTGGACTGCACGGTTACTATGGAGAGGACAGTATGGTGTGGGGAGCTGTGTGTGCATTTGCGCGCATGCTTGTGTGTGTGTGTGTGTGTGTGTGTGTGTGTGTGTGTGTGTGTGTGTGTGTGTGTGTGTGTGTGTGTGTGTGTGTGTGTGTGTGTGTGTGTGTGTGTGCGTTTGCGTGTGTACGTGCTTGTGTGTGTATGAACTAATCTGAAAAAAAACTATAGTATTCACTGTTGTGTTTTTGCAGACTTTACTGTACTATTCACTATAGTGTTTTTGCAGACTAAAGTCAGCAAAAACACTACATTGAATACTATAGTATTTACTGTAGTATACTGTAGTGAAATAACTGTAGTACATACGATAGTAATTAATGTAGTGTTTTTGCAGATTGTAGTATACTGTAGTATTTACTGTAGTTTTTTGCAGACTGTAGTATACTGTAGTATTTATTGTAATGTTTTTGTGACATTACTGTAGTATTTACTATAGTGTTTTTGTTTTATTATCTTTGACATAGAAGTGGAGGCTTTCTGCTTCAGGAAACCTACTGGAGAAATACTAAAAGAGCACATTTTCCATAACCTGTAGGTAGACTGGGGTCTGAACGGATTGTTCAGAGCTTCTGCTCTTTTCTATAATCTGTAGTAAAGTAAGTAAAGAGGCTTGGGGCTTGTAGGGATATCTCAGGGCTTCCTGCCTTGTTCTACCGCTCTTCTCAGTGTGTCTATCCAGTCGAGGGGGAGGTTTGGAAAGGGGGAGGGGTGTTGGAGTTGTCCTTTTGTCCTCTGGTACTTGATTTTAATTAAAACACACTTTATTGGATAATTAAATGTAAAGAAGAAAAATAAAGAAGACAAATAAAAAGAGGAGGGAGGGATTGGGTACGGGATACGGACCCGGTTTAGGGTAAGATTTAGGGAGTAGGGTTGGGTACGGGATACGGACCCGGTTTAGGGTAAGATTTAGGGAGTAGGGTTGGGTACGGGATACGGACCCGGTTTAGGGTAAGGTTTAGGGGGTAGGGTTGGGTACGGGATACGGACCCGGTTTAGGGTAAGGTTTAGGGAGTAGGGTTGGGTACGGGATACGGACCCGGTTTAGGGTAAGGTTTAGGGGGTAGGGTTGGGTACGGGATACGGACCCGGTTTAGGGTAAGGTTTAGGGGGTAGGGTTGGGTACGGGATACGGACCCGGTTTAGGGTAAGATTTAGGGAGTAGGGTTGGCACAATATATGGTCTATACTTGGCGTGTAGATTTCTCACTTATGTGTGGCACATATTGTGATATGGGGAGGGGAATGGGCAGGGTATATGCCAATTAAATACTGTAGTTAAAAAAGTGTTTTTGCGGATTGTAGTGTTTTTGGAGACATTACTGTAGTATTTACTACAGTGCTGTTTTTGCGGATAATACTCTAGTATTTACTATAGTACAGTATTCTACAGTATATTACAACATTCTATAGTAAGTACTACACTTAATAGAGGGATACTACAGTGTGTAGTATAGTATTCTACAGTATACTACAGTTTACTATAAAGTCAAATTAATTAATGTGGGTGTAGTCAATTGACCCAGATGTTTACCGGTTTCTGTGCATCAGCTTGGCACCGCTGCCTCCACTGTGCCTGTCTTTGCTTCTTTAAGTATTTACAACCTTTAAGGACGTAAGTAATTACTTTCTGCACAGCCCCAGGTCCCCAGGGCATCAAGGCTTCCCTCAACCACTGAAGCTCTGCCCTTCCCCTGCCCATGTTTGTTGAGGGTGCTCTGAGAACCCCTGAGAAACTCAGCATGAACCTCTGACTCACCATTATAGGGAAACCTCAGTGAACTGCAGTCTTAGAGAATGCTGATTACTACTGGGCTTCTTAAGACCGTCAAAGAGAGGTTTCCAAATTTGCAAAGCTCTGGAGGATTGTATCCTTCACAAGAGAAAAACTTTGGCGAGCTTTAAAAGACTGTTATGTGAGAACTCTTCATAAATTATGCCCCAATAGAAGTTTCCATGACTATCAATGTCAGAAAGTGGGGCCAAGTCAGTCAGTGGTCAATAATTGATTAACCAATCATACTGATCAATTGTATAGGGTAGTAAGGAGTGAGTGAGTGACTGAATGACTGACTTGTTTAATTGGTCTAACAAGACTAAATACTGTCTTTTTCGATAGAGCAGTTTCAATCCGTTTAGAAATGTTCTGACCATTGCCAATCAGACCGTTAGCGGTGACTAAGTAATCTCTGCTCTCCCTGTCTGCTCTGTCTATCACTGCCCATGGGCTGATGCATAACCAAAGGTCAATGTTCTGTAATGCCCACCTGAGACTCAGATATTCAGTTCAGATGAAACGTTATTGGGAAATTAATTGTGCAGCCAGGAGTATGCCTAGGCCTACATACCGGTAAGACAATACAGTATACACAACAAAGACACAAATATAAACTATTAAGTAACAACAAGGCCGACTTCCAATACCTACATCAAAATCAAAGCAATTGGCAAGCTAAAAAGCTGACCGGAAAATGCAAACAATGACAGCCTAAATCAACAGATATCTGCATGATTCATTTAAATAAAAGGCATACATTAAAGGTAGGTTGGTTCTTACAATCAACAAGGACGCATGACAAACAAAGCAAACTCGACCAAACAATGTCGAAATGAGGAAGTAGCCTACATTTTAGGGATTTAATATCTTTATTAGAAATGAAACAACATAGGGGATGGAAACTGGGAGGGTGTGGTGCTTTGTGATTGTGGGTAGTTGGTTGAGGATGTTGTTTGTGTTTCCATCTTACAACAGGAGCAGGCAGAGAGGATTACGCACAGGTCTAAAATCTGTAGGGAGCACAATATATGGTCTATACTTGGCGTGTAGATTTCTCACTTATGGGTGGCACAAATTGCGACATGGGGGAGGGGAATGGGCAGGGTATAGGCAAATTAAATACTGTAGTTAAAAAACTGTAGTGTTTTTGCGGACATTACTGTAGTATTTACTACAGTGCCTATTTGCAGCTAACACTGTAGTATCTACTATAGTATTCTACAGTATATTACAACATTCTATAGACAATCTTAGACATTTTCTGACCATTGCCATTCAGACCGTTAGTGGTGACTCAGTAATCTCTGCTCTCCCTGTCTGCTCTGTTTATCACTGTGCTCTTTCTATCACCCTGTCTGCTCTGTCAAATCATCGTGCCTACAGAGCTTCCACGACCCCTGCCACAGCAAAGTTTGATTCTAGCCTACATAAGATTTAATAACTTTTAAAACCATGACCACAGAGAGACTGTCAAAAAATACAGCAAAGAGCTACTGTTTTTATGAGTGAGTTCAACACTGTCAACACAGTTTTAATTAAACACTGTCAACACAGTTTTTATTCAAACTGTCAACACAGTTTTTATTCAACACTATTACAAAACATAAAACGTGCTATTCCTTACTTCCACTTGCGCTGCAGCTGGAATGAATGAGGAGCCAAGTGTATCAATAGCCCTGCGTTTGTATTATTATTAGCAGCTCGTCGTGTCTACTTTAATATCGAGGAATATTTCACATTCTCTGGTCATAGGAACAACATGAATTTGTGCATGACTGAGGCAGATGTGGTGCGACTCGAGTTTCACCATCAGATGGAAGACGATGTCCCCTCTCTCTGGTCAGTCTCACTGGCGGAAAGGAAGGAGAGAGCAGGGACTGTGAGAGGCGGACCCTCTGCTGCTCTCTCCCTCCGCTGAGACTAATGTTGTGTTCAAAACAACTGGGAACTCGAAAATATCCAACTTACAACTTAAGTGCGTTCAAGACAACTGGGAACTCGTAAAAACAACTACATCTGACTGGGAAAAATCGTTTTGAACGGTCATCCAACTCAGAAACTCTGGCATCTTTCTAGAGCTCTGACTTTCCGACCTAAAGATTGAGAATTTAGCCAGGACACTGGGGTTAAAACCCCTACTCTTACGATAAGTGCCATGGGATCTTTAGTGACCACAGAGAGTCAGGTCACCCGTTTAACATCCCATCCAAAAGACAGCACCCTACACAGAGCAATGCTGCTGGATATTGTTTTTAGACCAGAGGAAAGAGTGCCTCCTACTGGCCCTCCAACACCACATCCAGCAGCATCTGATCTCCCTTCCAGGGACCAACCAGGACCAACCATACTTAGCTTCAAAGGCAAGCCAGCAGTGGGATTCAGGGTGGTACATAATTCCTACAGAACAGTTTTTATTACGTCATGTTTAAAAAAAATTCTGAGCGGTAGATCTCGGCTTGCTTTTTGACTGTGAAAGTGATCTTGACCACTGGTTGTTGACCACTGCTCTATTTCATGGAAAGAGCAGGTGTTCTTAATGTTTTGTATACTCAGTTTATAACTAATATGTCAGTGGAAGTGACATATAACTGCAATGGTTATTCAGTATGTCCCAATTTGTTGACATATTCTAATGAGACCATGTTAGTAAGTGATGAGATTCTTTCCTATTGTCATTCCCAACAGCTCCGCTCCATCCAGGACCTTCAGACATTGCAGATCATTAAGATCCTGCGCTATGAGAAAAAGGTGGCCATCATGTTCTTGCTGATGATCTCCTGTTTCCTGGTGTGCTGGACACCATATGCCGTGGTGTCCATGATGGAAGCCTTTGGCAGGAAGAGCATGGTCACCCCCGCCATCGCCATCGTCCCCTCCGTCTTCGCTAAATCCAGCACGGCCTATAACCCTCTCATCTACATCTTCATGAGCAGAAAGGTGAGGGGACCTCTGATAGAGGAAATGCTTTGAAACAAGCCCTTTTCCAAATTTAAAGGAAAATCACACTTCAAAATCAAGGTTTGTCTGTTGTTTTCAGACCTCATTGTAGCATAATAGCTGAATCAGGGCCGGCCCTAGCCTTTTGGGGGCCCTAAACGAGATTTGGTTAGGCGTGCCCCCACCTACCGGGCAAAACATTTAAGCTGCCCCCCTCTTGGCAGTGGAGAGACATTTTTTGCAGTTTTAAAGCTAATTTCCTGCAATTAAACAAATTTTGCCGTGACCTATCCCATGTTCATACGATATCTGGTTGAGAGTGACTAACAAAATCAATGGGGCCCCCTGGAGGTCAGGGCCCCTGGGCACGTACCCTGCGTGCCAGTCAGTAATTTGGCCAGGATTACTACAAGGTTTAGATAGTTGGCTAGACTAACTTACCTAGCAATATAAAAATGTTTAGCTGACATAGGCTAATTGAGTGACTGTCAGTGACTGACATAACAAGAGGAAAACTGCTTGTGCACAACCACATTTTGAAATTGCACCTTGTGTATTCTACTCTTCTAAGTCTCAACATTAAATTGAGACCCTGACTGAGTTCCTCTCTCTCTTTCTTCTCCTCCTCCTGTCCCTCTGGCAGTTCCGGCACTGCTTGCTGCAGCTGCTGTGCTCCCGGCACTCGTGGATTCAGCGCAGCATCAAGGACCGCCCCCTGGCCCGGAGAATCGAGCGGCCTATCCGCCCAATCGTCATGTCCCACCGAGGGGGCGGGGAACGACCAAAGAAGAGGGTGACCTTCAGCTCCTCCTCCATCGTCTTCATCATCGCCAGCAATGACGTGCACCACCTGGACACCACCTCCAAGAGCGGCGGTATGTCGTCAGAGGGCATCCAGGTGCGGCCGCTGTGACAGAGCATTATGGGTACTGTAGTACATCATGCTACACCCAGGTCACCATGGGAACTGACTAATCACCTCATATCACCTGTTCCTCTGTATACCTCAGGACTTCCTCTCATGAAACACAGAATCCAGAAGTTCCAAAACACCCTTCTGACACAAGACTACTGGTTCTCATTTTAGCCTTTTTTAAGATCCATCGCTATAAACTGTAGAGACTTTTTCCCAACCCTCTTTCACTGTGCCTCAGAAGGAACAAACCCTTGAAGTGTTCAAAGTACTGTATGCAGACTGTCTCACCGTGAACGCTCTTAAACACTCCATTCTACCATCTATCCTATCAGTTATGGTAACCGAATGATGTAGCTGTGAGTTTGTGACCTATTTCTCTTGGCTCGAACACTGTTGTTTTCAATGGCACCTCTGTAATTGTGTCTGCCAGCCTTTGACATAGTCTCATGCTGAGCTGGGTGTTTTTAAACAGTACCCCCTGTGTCATACCGGAGGTCAGCAGTGTTAATGGACCAGTGATTGGCTGAGGAAGAGAAAGTGATGTTGATTATTACTATTTCCCTGGTTGGCAGCTTTATTGTGCTGAATGAACTTATGAGGAAATGCCTTACAATATTGCAGCAGCACATTCTGCACAACACTCTCTCCACCTTTGTCACATCCAGATACAAGAAATATATCCTATATTCAGGGGTGAAAGTAGATTTAAATTCTTCCCGGTACAGGGACCTCCTATATGTGTGCACGCACTTAATTCTGCTTATATTTTCCAACATTTGGTAGGCTATTTGTTTGTCAACTTGTCTATAATTAGATACATGCAGCTTCTCTTCTGTCATTACTTGATGCTCGTCTAGAATACTAAATAAAGCCTTGCTCACCAGAATAATGTCATAAACTGATAGAATGATCAATGCATCATCAACAATATAGTTGATGTCTATAAAGTTTTCTCTTTCATTTCTGCTTCTCTCATGGAGCAAGGGACCATGGAGATTTTCCGTGCAACATTTCCAAATGACATCAGTTTGACCGATTTTGGATGCATATTTTATGTGGTTGAACATGAAATACTCTCAGCCTTTACAGTATCTCCCTGAAATAAATTGTACGTTTATTTCTCTCAAGATGCTGAAAGAAATACATTATATTTCTCTACTCCTGTTCCAGAGACAAAACACTTAATATTAGTTAATATTATCATAGGCTACATGAGGCCTACAGTCAGTGTCCAGGACCTCACCCACTGGGCAAAAACTGGTTGAATCCACGTTGTTTCCACGTCATAAAAAAACAAAAACATGATGATGTTGAATCAACGTGGAAAACTGTTTGAATTTGAAAAAAGTCATAAATGTAAGGGCATTTCGTCTCTTTTTCACCAAACTTTTCATCTAAATCCAATGTCATGGTGACATTTTTTGTTGATTTCATGTTGAATTCACATTAGTTGACAACTCAACCAAATGTAAATCAAAACTAGACGATGAACTGACGTTTGTGCCCAGTGGGCAGTTACTATTCCAACTATTAGGCTACTCCACTCTAAAATAATTCCGGCATCCATACAGTGCCATTTGATAAATGCAAAGAGACATCAGTTACAAAACACCAAAAAGTGTAATGAATGACATTTGGTGATTGTCATTCATTAGGCCTACACAAGTCTTGTAACCTGAATTGATGTGTACACTGCTGTCCATGTGCATCTCGGTCTCAACCACTCATCTCTGCTTTGGCGAAATGTCTGTGTTATTGTCGAACCACACAGCATTTTGGAGCATATTCCAGATGTTTTCAGGTCTATTTGCAAATGTTTCATGCGACTGACATGCGGAAATGATAAATAGTGTACTAGCCTACAGTATTCTTTGAATCTGTTGAAACTATTTATTTTGCCGGACCGGACCAGCTTACTTTCACCCCTGCCTATATTTAATTTCAACACACGCGCTAGAGCAGGGTTTCCCAAACTCAGTCCTCGGGACCCCAAGGGGTGCACGTTTTGGTTTTTGCCCTAGCACCACACAGCTGATTCAAATAATCAACTAATCATCAAGCTTTGATAATTTGAATCAGTTGTGTAGTGTTAGGGCAAAAACCAAAAGGTGCACCCATTGGGGTCCCGAGGACTGAGTTTGGGAAACCCTGCTCTACAGTGATAAATGCAATCACTGTGAAATTACATTTGGTGGAATTACCTTTATGTAGAATAATATGAATGTAATTAAAGAGGGAAAAGATTGCAGTCGAGATCAGACTGGTCCCACAGGCTGCAGTGATGAGAAACTCCAGCGGCTCCAGGCTCCAGACAGAGCTCCTTTGATAATCCTCCTTGGTCTTCCCCTACAGGGACTGATTGGCCATCTGGCAATTCTAGTAAATGCCAGAAGGGCTGGACAATTTTTTGTTGGTTAGGCTGGTCGAAATTGACACACACAAAATATAAAACAAATTTAAAAGGTGACATTATATACTAATCTATAATGAGCCTTTGGCTGATCAGTGGGCAATGGCTGACCCCCCTACCAAGATGGGCCGGTCCAGTTTTCTGATAGGCTGAGCTGTCACACAAACTCACATTCAAAGTAAAATGTGGCATCAGCAGAGACCTGCTCTGACTCTGTCATTAGACAGCCAAGATCATTGATCGTAAAAAGAAAAAGGAAAGAGTGCCTATAAATGTAGAAAGAGCACATTTTACATTGTCATCTCACTTAAAACGTCCTATTCTTTGGGTGGCTAAAACCATGATTTGGTCAAACAGTAAAGTGCATTATCCTCATGATTCCTGTAGTGAAAGTGTCTGTCCTGACGCTGTGCCTGTTTCGTTGGGACCTGCCGCATTCTGATTGTATAACATAAAAAAATGCAATTGTGGGTAAAACACATCTTCGGAAGCTTCGTCCCCTTGTCCCTGTTGAAGAGAGGAGAGTCTCAGCTTTCTGTAGGTATAATGTTTATTTCTCAACTCTCAATATTCAGCTATATAGCAACTACAGTATTTTACAACCAAACTATTTGATAAGGCTTTGAGATATTGAGCGGCGCACATGCAAAATGCGTACCGGCCATTGAGAGGGCTTAGGCCTATAGGTCTCATGGGTAGTAGCCTACAACTGCAACGTTTTTTTAGGACATTCAATTTACTGTTGGATTAATACATTGCTACAAGCAGTGGGTATTATATTTAGAGTTAGTGATCTAGTTAATGTGTTTTGAGTTTCCACTTTCTCAAGTGTTGAAACCCAAATTAATGAGCCTATGATATTAGTGCACATAAAGATGTATGTCATTATTGAAGAAAAAATCTGGATATTTTTGACTATAGTCTAATTGTCAACCCAAACTTCATGAGAATACCCGGATTAGGTTGCACATAAAAATATATTGAATCATGTATTTCTGCTTGGACATGTTAGATGAAACAACTTATTTATTGAATACCTCAGTAGTTTATTTATTACACTTCTTAATAAACTATGAATTACTTTATAAAATGATTGGGCTGGTGCCACCAACTGTAAAAGTTAGTAACACCAGTGACACCAGAGGAAAATGTTAGTCTGGAGCCCTGTAATAATTAACACTTAGGGACAGTTTGACATTTACTGAGGTGGGGGGGTCTGGTCCAAAATATGGGAGGGTTGTCAAACTTTTTTTTTGCTTTGGGAAGTGTTTTTTTATTGGGCACAGGGGAGGGTAGTGCGTTTTTTCCCTGATTTACATTCACCATTTGGCAGGTTTTGCTATATAATGTCCTCATCTGCTTGCATGCGCCTCCCCTATCAAGGTGTTTTGGTACTTCCCTTATGCGCTACGCTTTTCTGTGCGCTTACTATACAACAGGTCAAGATAGTCTACCAGTCAACTGTCTATCGTGCCCTCTATCCATTGTGACAATAGTGGTAGTTGGATCCTTTGTCCAGCTCTGCAATAGGTTATTTAGCAATCATACCATACATAAAATCATTCAAATCTGTACCAATTTTCAAAATAAATCCACAATATAGAGGAATAGTTGATAAGCAGTAGAGAGACCAGGTGCGTCATTGCGCATGAAAGAACAGTGAAGACACGCAGCCAAACTTGTGTCATCATTCTACATTACGTATTGGCTACACAATACGTCAATTAGCCCATGAAGGTCAGCCATCATTACGCACCAATGAGGCGAGTGGTGTTCACTTGATTGACAGTGTCTTGGTCCAATAACATAGCTAGCCAGATAGCCAATGCGCTGGGCTATGTGAACGCCCTTTGTACCACAAACAACCATCATGCTAGAGCTGTGCGCAACAGTGATCATTCTCAAGGCGAAAGCAAACAGGACGCACGGTAGTTTACGTTACGCAGCGGTTCATTGTCTTCTACAAACTTTTCTCAAAATTGAAAAAGTAAAACATGGCTACTAAGAGTGGAAAAGCTAAATCGAAGTCCAAGTATACAAATTTGAATGAGATTATTGCAAAAATTGACTGAGAGAGTGACACAGAATGAATGGTTTTGATTCCAGCGCCAAATAAATGTTTTTGGAAGGAAAATATCCACTTTTAGATCAGTAAGTAAAATATGTTTTTGCTTCTTATGATAATGTAGTTGTTTAAATGGTTGCATATTCATTTGAAATATTTTTATTTGATTTATGTATATTAATACACACACACACACACAGATTTTTAGAAATGTTTGCTAAATTGTTATTTATGTTTTAAACACGGAAATATCACATTTACATAAGTATTCAGACCCTTTACTCAGTACTTTGTTGAATCACCTTTGGCAGCGATTACAGCCTCAAGTCTTCTTGACTATGACGCTACAAGCTTGGCACACCTGTATTTGGGAAGTTTCTCCCATTCTTCTCTGCAGATCCTCTCAAGCTCTGTCAGGTTGGATGGGGAGCGTTGCTGGACAGCTATTTTCAGGTCTCTCCAGAGATGTTCGATCGGGTTCAAGTCCGGGCTCTGGTTGGGCCACTC